AAGGAATCATTCAATCTGTCTAGTTGCTGACAGTATATCTTCGAATTAATTGTCGTGTGTTAGGTGGATATAAGCTAGAAAAAACAAGCACAAATCCCTTGTAATCTCACCATACAACAAAACCTAACCTAAACCTTCTTTTAGTGAGTATGTTTTTGAAGCCTCACAGGACTTTGCCACCATGATCTTTTTCGAGCATTATTGTATACAATTCATTTCTTATTGCCGTGTACTTCAAAAATGAATCGTTTTGGTAAGCATATCGCATTACACTGGCGCGTTAAATGAATTTCCTGAAGCTCACGTGGGACCCAAATATCCAGCTTCTTTTTTACATATCCAATTCTTTTTAGATGGTCGTCGATAGTTGTTTTGGATAAATTTAACTTGCCTACCATTCAATCGTGATTGAATTTTAACTGGTTATTCATCAATCTCAATAGGCGTAGCAACTCGTGATGGATTTCTTGGACCGAGAAATTTCCAGGCAACGAAGTTTCGCATATTTCTTTGAAATGAAGAAAGTTGAAGTCTTGAAATGAAGACGTCCGATCAACTTGGAAAATTTTTCACAAGTTAACAGTGAGGCTGTTCTATTCGACTACTCATTATCAAAGAGAGATAGATGTATTCGTAGAAACAGAAGAGACTTCCCGGGCAACCTAATATTGTCAGCGAAAATCTCGAAGCCTCTGTCTTTCTTTCACTCTCTAACTTGCCGACAGCCAATTCGACAAACGAGGAGATCTAGTGTCAGAACCTTGGAACCGGTAGAAACCGCTCGAAGACGACGACGTGGTCGTTCGGGCATCAAAATAGCAAGTTGATTATTTAATACTTCACTGGCGTCTGGTGACTTGGTTCAGACTTGCACTTTGCCATCTAATTATTTCCTTCAAAATCGGAGGGTTATTTTTGGAATGGAGTTTTTCATTGATCATGACACCGAGAAGTAGGTCTTGGATGATTTCCATTTGGGCAACGTAATTTCGCTGCATGTCGCTGCCGCATAGCCGTCCAAGTATTCCAAAGTGAATACAATTATTCGTAAATCATCCGGCTGGAACCGGCCGTTCTCGCTGAACTGATATTTTTTATCTATTGAAATTTCCGCCCGCGAAGAGAGAGAAGTGGACGTTCAATTGACATTGACAAATGATACTTTGCGACAAAGACTTTCAGTTTGAGACGGATGAAAATGCTTGCTTTATTTGAGCAATAGTCTGCTAGAACTACCTAGAGAGTTAAGACGGACCAGTCTTTAAAAAATACGTAATAATAGAATATTTTTATATTTATTGATTTGTTACTTTCTTGCAAATAGAAATCCCGTGTTACGCAGTATAGTTAATACCAATAATAAAAAAAAATTTTAATAATATAAAATAAAATTGTAATACATATAAAATAATAATGTAAAATTTTCATAATATTCAGTTTTCAAAAATTCGAAATTTTTTTACCCAAAATTCGAGAAGCTTCTAATTCCGTGCGAGATATTATATGTTCAAGCGTATGGTCGTCAATTAGTAAAGAAAATGAGCTATTTTCCAGTTAATTATCGAACGATAGTATAAATTCTAAAAACGTGTGTAAAGTTGTACGAAACTGATTAATTCGGTAAATAGATTGTACGACCCTGTTTTACACTTCGGCAAGTACCAGTCATTTTGACTGGTATTGGCATAAGTGGCCACGATACAAAATTATTTTGGTTTCTAATAAATAAAAATAAAGGAAAAAATCATTTCTTTAGTTACCACTGCAAAAGTCATTACGTCATTGCGGGGAAAAAAGTGTAACATGAAACAGAAAATTTTAAAATAAAATTGTAAAACCAGTCATTTGAACTGGTGTGATAGTGTTAAAGAGATACTCTGATCATTCAAAGTTATTTTATTTTACATTACTGTAAGAGTATTTTATTTTATATTACTGTAG